CTTGAAAAATCAATTAATTTCTGATCAATAGCAATAATTACTTGCTTTTAATTTCATTTCTTTTTCCAATTGAAATTTTGTTATTCATGATTTAATTCAAGTCCCCGTAAAACATTTTTAACAATTTACATTCAAGTTACTTTTAAACTTCCTACCTATGGGTTCACTCTTTTTAGAGACTTCTACTAAAATTAATATTAGGAGATACTATAATCAATATTTCTTTCATATATACAATATATATATATATATATAATCTAATAAATTCTTTTCTAACATATAACCCTCACAAACATTGAAAGGCTAAAATTACTCTTTTGTCTTAAGCAGCAAGTTACAAATAACAAGCACAAGAAATACTATTTTTAATCTGAAAATCTTACTACTTCATGTACATTCCCTTTTAAGTACATTCCCATCCTATAAAATGGCATGTTGGTATATTTTTCCAACACTTAACACATTATATTGCATTTTTCACCATATTGATAAGCATGAATATCAACAAACCATCTACTCATAACTTCAAAATCTGTAATTGATGAAACCTTTCATTTTACATGTTCACAATCTAAATTCATTTTTTCAAGTTTACATCACTGGGTTAAATTCCTATTCAAAAGCAGGTATTCAGCTAAAGTATTAAAGAACTATCAGGTTAATGTGTGTTTCTTGGACTCTGTATTTTACTGACACAAATGAGGTTTTGGAAAGTTTCTAGGATAGATTAAGCATTGCTGTATGGATGCTGGCAAAAAATTGTAGTAATGTATTATATGCATAATTTTTTAATTGTATAAAAATTCTAGCTAATATTCAAAACTAATGCATTTTTAGACTATAATGTGGTGATAAATTATTGTACATGATTAGGTATTATAACTTTTGGGGCAGTATATATAAAATTATAATATTGATTGCAAATTATGATAAATTGAATATGTTCACATATAATACATATAAGACAAACCAAAGTAACAGTAAATTTTCAAATAAATTTCTTCATTATTTTTGTCAGTTGTGTTACAGTTATTTATAATATGTCCAATACTTAATCAAATTATCACCATATCATTCATACTGGAAATATGAATTAAATAATTTTTTCAAATAATCCAAAAAATAAAGGTTTTTTTTTTTTTTTGTTTTTTTTTCAAAATGTACAGATGATGATAAAGTTCATTGACAGGAGCATTGTATAAATATCAAGATAAATTTTCTCTTGGTCAAAACTCTGCATTTTCATTTACTTAATTCCGTTTCATATTTTCACTAAAGAATGCAAATGGAATGATGTCCTTATTTAATATTTAGATCTGATTTAAATGTGCAAATATTTATTTGAGTATGTAGATGTTTTTCAATCATATTAAAGAAACAAAAAGTAAGCCATTATTTATACTACAATCCTAACCTTGGATAGTGGCTTTTAACCAACAATCACCCATGATTTTGCTTTTTTGAAAGCATTACAGCTATTCTAGTTTTTCTAGAAAGATTTGAGTTTATTTGATCTTTTTCACTGTCGGCCAACATACACCAGATAATATCCTATCAAAAGAGATGTGAATTGCCACGGTTAAATTGTGTGCTTCTTAGTTGTTATACCAATGTTCATGTTTCTGAAGAAAATATTATCAATAAACAGATTTTCAATAAGCAATTCTATTTCATTCCGCTTTACTGAAGTAAACAGATGGATTTTCTTTTGTTTAAAAAGATTTTACCACATCAAAATAATCTAATTATAAAAGTATGTTCTCGTGTAGGAAATATACTGACATATGTGCTTTTCTACACAAAATTATTTAACACCGTCCTGTAAGAGAAAAGATTCTTTTTATTTTTTGTTCAGTATAGGGTGAGGTTAACTTTTTCATGAAATTTCTCTCCTGCGTGAATACACATACACGGATTTAAATCACACTTTAGTATGACTTTTACATACCTCACAAATGATGTTCATCTTCTGTGTGAATGAGCATACGCTGGTTTAAATTGAGTTTATGTCTAAATAGCATACTATATACCTCACATACATGAAGTTTTTCTAATGCGTGAATAATTGTTATACACTTCAGACACATAAAGCTTAAAGCACCTTTTAATCGAAATGACTTGTTACATAATTTACACACATGAGGATTCTTTCATGTGTGAATAAGCATATGCTTTTTTAATTTATTCGTCTCTCTATATGACTTACATACTTCACACACGTAAGGTTTCTCACCTGTATGAATTAACATATGACGGTTTAAAGTTGCTTTATGTCTAAATGATTTGCTACATATCTCACACACATGAGGTCTCTCTGATGTGTGAATAAGCATATGGATATTTAAATTACTTCTTTCTCTAAATGACTTGTCACATACTTCACACACATGAGGTTTCTCTCCTGTGTGAATATGCATATGATCATTTAAACTTCGTTTATGTGCAAATGACATGTTACATTCTTCACACACATGAGGTTTCTCCCCTGTGTGGGTAAGCATATGGTTCTTTAAATTACCTCTTTCTTTCTCTAAATGACTTGTTACATACTACACACACATGAGGTTTCTCTCCTGTGTGAATTCGTACATGCTTGTTTAAAGATCCTTTTTGAGTAAATGACTTGTTACATACCTTACATAGATAAGGTTTCTCTAGTGTATGGATAAGCATATGCTTGTTCAAAATAGACTTTCGAATAAATGACTTTTTACATACTTCACACGCATGTAATCTTTTTCCTGTATGAATTGGCATATGCAGCTTTAAACTACCCTTATACTTAAATGACTTATTACATACTTCACAAATATAAGGTTTCTCTTCCGTGTGAATAAGCGTATGGTTCTTTAAATTACTTCTTTCTCTAAATACTTTGTTACATACTTCACATTCATGAGGTTTCTCTCCTGTGTGAATTCGTACATGCTTATTTAAACATCCTTTTTGTCTAAATGACTTGTTACATACCTCACATACATAAGGTTTCTCTAGTGTGTGAATAAGCATATGCTTGTTCAAAACACACTTTCGAATAAATGACTTCTTACATACTTCACACATGTGTACTTTCTTTCCTGTATGATTAGGCGTACACATCTTTAAACTATCCTTATTCATAAACGACTTATTGCATACATCACAAAAATGAAGTTTCTTTTCTGTGTGACTATGTCAATACTTGTTTAAAGTACTTTTATAACTAAATGTCACTTTACATGCTTCACATACATGAGGCTTCGCTGGTGTGTGAAGAAGCATATGGTTGCTTAAATTACCCGTTTGTGTAAATGACATGTTGCATACCTAGTACTTACTAGTTTAAAACTGCTATATTTCATACAAATATGATTTCTTACCCGAATATATATACATGTTTAAATAAAAATTTATGCAATCATGCCATATTATGCTCATGAAGTTTCAATTTTTCTAGAATTGCTTAGGTTAAACAAGACGTGGTAAACAGTTTCCACAATTTACAAAGCAGAATATCATAAGTTCACTTTTGAGAAAGAAATCATCGTACTACTAACAACTCAACTCCGCAAAATGCTGTATTCCCTGTTGCCAAATCAAAGAATGAATATTGTTCTTTGGCGTCTTTCATAGACGTTCTTTGGCGTCTTTCATAGACGTTCTTTGGCCAAATGACAATCGCGATAAATATTGATACCTTTATAAAAAGTCCCCGCGCATTTTGGTACATTTTTGAACAAAAATTTTCTTTATTGAAAATCAATTTTATTCAAGTAGATATTGACCATTATTATCTATGGCCTTTTGCCATTTTTCGGGTAGCTTCATGATTTCGTCGTTGTAGAACTTCTGTGGTTTGTCGTCGAAAAACTTAACAAAGTGTTTTTTAGTGGCGCTTCGGTTGGCCAGTTTTTTACCATCAGGAGAGTTTTGCCAAGAAGTAGAGTCGGTGTTGGTTTTGCAGAGACAGAAACAAATGGTAGTCAGACAGAGCAAAATCAGGGTGTATACTGTGAATGCATCAAAACTTCCCAACCAAGCTCCGTCAATTTGTACCGAGTCGTCAAAGATGTGTGTGGCCGCGTATTGGAGCACAGCTCCCTTTCTGTTGGCCAATTCTGGTCGCTCTTTCTAGATTGCTTCTTTCAAGCGAAAAAGGTTAGAATTCTAACCTATTATAACATCCTTGGTTGAAACGGTCGAGTTGTGCACAGTACAGGGCCGAATTAATGGTTTCGCCATGTTGCAACATGGACAATTCCTTTCTAATCCCACCAAACACTCAACATAACCTTATATGGCGACAATCCATACGTTGAAGTCGTTTGTCGAGGGTCACTGACCTTTGACCATGATTGTTTGCGTTTGATATTCTCGTATTTCACCCATTTTTCATTGCGTGTAATAATTCGCTCCAAAAATGGTTCAATTTCGTTGCGTTTCAGCAGTATTTCACTGATGGTAATTCGGTCAATCAAATTTCTTGGGCCTACACTCCTTTGGCTCAGAAAAAAAAAAAAAAAAAAATTGTGATTAACGGTTTTCCGAAAACAAAAACTGTTAATGAACTCTGGCGTTTTTTGGGAATTTTTGATTTCTATAAGAGATTTTTAAATCATGCTGCTGAAGTTCAATTTCATTTAAATGGTATAACTGGGAAGTTGTAAAAAAAATGACAAAACACCCTCGAATTGGTCAATAGATATTGAAACAGCTCTTGAATCATGACTTGGGTTCATTAAAATCATTTATTCTTTCCAAATTGTTGTTAAATAATTATCTAAGAACTATTATCTTCCTTCAAATATAAAAATTATTTTGTCCTAAACACTTGTTACATTTTTATCTCTGTCACAACCTGCCTTAAAAACTGCCGCTGAAATTTGGTAAAGCTTTGCTGCCCTACTTGGCGGAGCTTATTCACCGGCTTCACTTTTGTACAGCGATAGCAGAGACGCTAGGTTCATGTACATAAGCTTCTTGCAATTTACTTCCTACATTTCTTTGGCTAACCAATGAATTAACAGCACATGTTTGACAATCACTCTCTGTAACGAGTTCTTTGCTGTAACCGTCGTGGCGTTGGTTTCGTTGTTATTTCCACCGTGTACTTTGTGGGATTGTCAATCGAATTTTCATGGTCATGGCTGAAAAGAGGAAAAACAAGAAGAAAAAGGAGGTAACAGTTTATTTCTTTGTCATATGACTGGAGTTATCGTACTTAATTAAGTATATGTTTTTATGAAGTAATCAATGCTCTTTTGCATTTTTCGGTTTTAAATTATAGATTCCAACGTTCGTGATCGGTTTTACAGCAAGACAATTTGTGCTCTTTTCGGCAAAATACCATTATAGCTGTAATAATACTCCTTAATTATTAGCCAGTATTTTGAATTATGAAAAGAATTTAGTAATTTGGTTCTTTGCGGTTGAAAACCTGTAATTAGATTTATTTTTAGAGTAAACTACTTGCATATGTTTACCATCAACGGAATAATAATTTTTTTTTAAAATTCATATTCAGAGGCAGTATTAATATTTAAAATGTTCGCAGTATAAATTTTCATCCTAATTTACAACTGTGTGCGTACGAAAAATTTTTATAAATGCCGACAGAATTCTGTTTAAATTCCTGTAGAACATTATAAGTAATCTTCATATTAGATCTTTAGTTGCGATTCGATAGAAATTTCTATAAAGCTTTCTTTCATAGAACAGAATCATGTAGAAAATTTAGCCTTTAAAAGAAATTTGCAAATTTTTCAAACTGTAATCAAAGTAAATTTTTATTTTTGGGCATACTGTATGACATAATACAGATGACCAAAAATAATCACCTTTTATTGGTAATTCTCTCTACTTAAACGTTTTTTAACTTTGAAATCCATATAAACATCTTGTACAGTATTGCTTATATAACAAACAAATGGAGACCTTGTATAACTGTAAAATCAAATTAAATAATAAAATTAGTTTTTTGTGTAGAAAACAGATGGGTAAGTAACTTTATGGAAGGATGTAGTAAAAAAATAAACATATAATAAATTAACGTTATACTTTTTGATTTGGTAATGAAAATGATTTGATAAATTTGTGTGTATTTTGTATTTTCTATTGCATTAATTGTCTGTAATATTTGAAATTATGCGAGATTTTTAACCTAAGATAGTTTTTGGGGTCGCAGACTCTTGTGATATATATGTGGTCACTTGAAATATGTTCTTTAGCATGTAAATTTAGTAGTATAATGTATGATTCTCTAATAGCTTCAGACTACCATAAAAAATTATAAATTTTTCATCATGACTGAATCTTTTTTTTACAGACTGATCTTAAAGATCTAGATAAAAAGCCAAGCAAAGAGGAATATGCTGTGGCAAGGTACCTCAAGCAAAAACTGCCTGAAAAGAAGACAACTCTGTTGGGCCATAAAGTAGAATATTTCATAGGTAATTCATTATAATTAATTAAAAATTGAAATATTTGATATTTCAGTAATTAACTAGCATCTGTGAAAATTCTGCCAATAATACTAGTTTGTGACTATGCTGTCACACATTTTCACATGTTGCAGAATTTCACATGTTGCACGTCACACATGTTGTACAATTTATATGGAAATAAAGAATAACAATCCATTTGACATGTTTGTTAGGTAGCACAATTTAGAAATAAAAAAACCCATTTCTTTGATCTGTGATGTCAAAAATATACTTCCTCTTCAAAAGATGCATGTAGAATGTTGGTGTATTGACAGGTTACAGTTAATATCAGACTATGGACTATCTTATCTTATTGCAGCAATTTTGCTGCTTTATTAACATTTAGAACATCCGAACTGGTAATACAAAATCAAAAAATAAGCTCTTTCTTTGAATTTAACCCTTTCACTGCGTGCTTTTTTTTTATCAAAATAGGTTAAAAAATTTCATATTTTTTATTACATATTTCAAATCTACATATATTTTATTTTTAGAGATAAAATATACAAAAAATTTTTGTAAAGAGTTTTTTTTTTTTTTTTTTCAATATAGAGTTAGATCATAGAAAAAGGTTGTCAGAATACTGAAATTGAAGAATAATGATATAAAAGGAAAATTTTGAAAATTAATATTGGTTAAATTATGATTTAATTTATAAAAATACAAAGGTAAAACATATATACTAATGAAAATATTTGCATAATGTAATATTTTGCATATCAATTTTGCACCACTGTTGAACGCTTTCAATAGAAACTGAATTTTCAGATTTATTACTATCTGCAAAGGAATCGGAGAAATCAGAGTCAGAACTACTATCAGTGTTGGAAATATCGTCAAAAATGTAGGTTATATCTTTCGCGAAACACTTTCTGCCAGACGTCTTTGAGCTCTGAAAAACGGCAACAGAATGCTGCATTATGTATTCTTGTATATTGGGCAGAAATGTGGGCAATTAACACCATCTGTTAGCCCACATCTAAATAAACAATTAATCATCACAGAAAAGCCGAAAGGAAACCTTGAACGGGAAAAGAGCGGATTGCACACTTAAAAAGACAGCAAAAATTCATCCCCACGGAAAGCGAGTGTTGCGCAAATTTTGCTACTTCTACGTTGGAAATCACGGGATGCGCAGCGAGAGGGTTAAACAAGCAGAACATAAACTTGTAGAAAATACTTAAATGGGAGGTAGGGAAAAAGTAAAACTGAATATTATTTCAAGCTATGAGATTGTTAATGTTTCTTCAAGTACTAATAAGCAGGAAGAAACGAACAAGCATGTAAGTTTAACAAGGTAATAATAGCTGAAAATAAATAAGGGAAAAGCAAATATTTACTAATCCCTCTTTAGCACGCAAAGTAGATTATAAAGTTTCTCAAATCTCTCTTGGGGAAAACCTGAACTTGCAATTTAACTACAGGTGACCCTTGACCTTTCGCTTAATTTGCTGTTTCGCTCAAAAAATACAATTTTTTAAAAAATTTTTGTTGGTATTTAAAAAGTTTATCTCTTTTATGCAGTAACTCCCACTTAATTTGATAGAAGTGGTGCATCAACCAGAGTTCATGGTTTCATTTTAGCCTAGCTTAACAGTGTCTGCTATACATGATTGGCTCAATGTAGCATGGTTACAAAATGGTTTGTTAAATTTTGCCTTGCTTCTACAATTAAGCCTGAATTGTATTAATTTACTATACTTAAATCTAATTCTTGCACATGCTTAAGTCTCATCAGAGTCCTGAATAAGTAAATTCCTACAGATATACTTAAGCTTACTTATGGCCGGCACTAGATATTTTGCCTCCTGATGCAGTCTCGACGGGTCTTAAATTCTTCTATCAAGCATCTCCTTAAGTTCTAAATTTCTGCCGTCTTTTAATTTTGGGTCCCAGTGCTTTTCCTAAACTCTAAAAAATTTTCTCATCCCTTAATTTTGTTATTCGGTGCTTCTCTAACTTTTCTCTAAATTTTGTCTTTCCTAAATGTTGCGACCATACGATCTCTGGCGCTGGTTCTGCATTTATGTGAATAAAAAGAAAACAATTATTCTTAATTCAAAAAGCACGAAATGTAATCTTTTGGCCTATGAGTATCATTAACAAAATCTAGTTTTAGCATATGGAAAGAAATTTTTGTTACATTTTTCCTTGTCAACATTTAGTGCATTTAACTTCAATCTGTGAACATCGCCAAACGTAAATGTCAACGTAAAAGATTTCCATACTCTTTGTTATTCAATTACTAATATAAAAAAAAATGTTTAGGGATCACTGCATGACGCAAGTTGTCATGTGTTGATAAACATACCTTGATGAAAGCAAAATAGAATAAATAATGATTCTCCAGGTTAGCATCAGGGATATAAAATATTATACAATATATTTGAGATATATGCCAAGCAGATAAAGAGCCAAATCATTGATCACACCACACAAATTTATGCTAAAATGTTTGTTTCTTCAATAATAATGTATTTTATTTAGTGGTGAAGTGGGTAAAAGTATAGTTTAGGGTGCCCATTGGCGATTTTTGGCGGTACATGGATACTGTTTTTGTGCAATGCTTTGACTTGTTATTTGCCAAAAATCGCCGCTACACGAAGCCAAAATAATAAGACAAACAATTGCACAAACTCGGTATCCATGTACACATCGACTTATTTTCACTTAAAAAAAAAAAAAAAAACCCCGAATTGCACAAAAATGGCATTGCGCACTCCTTTGACTTTATCCATGTACACGTTGACCTATTTTCACTTAGAAAAATCCCCAAATTGCACAAAAGTTGGCATTGCGCACTCTTTTAACTTTATCCATGTACACGTCGACCTATTTTCACTTAAAAAAAAAATCCCAGAATTTCACAAACTTGCATTGTGCACTCCCTTTACTTTGTCCATGTAGACATCGATATATTTTCACTTAAAAAGTCAAAGGAGCACCAAAGTCTACAGTATAGGCAAACAAAAAATACATAAATCTCAATAAAATACATTTTAAACCAAACAATAAAATAACATAAAAAGGAAAAACATGTTATACATTTAAGCACTACCAAAAGCAAATATTCACTTACCATAATTTTTGAGTTCGTTTCGTACACCCAGGGTCTAAAAATCAAAATATCAATCGTACTCAAATGACTTTTTTCAAACCAGGTACTCTTTCCGATCGAACGCTTCACATAGTGACCATCTGAACCTTTTTTCCTACAAACCCATTCAAATCCATCTAAACTATTTTAACACACACCACAAAAATGCTTACAAGACATCCCATGATTCAAAATTTCACAGAATCATGCACCCGATTACATCACAATAGGGTTTCCATAACATTCAACTACTCAGGCTACCATAAATGAAATAACTTGGCGATAAATCAAACAACTTCGCCATAATACGAGGGGTACCTTAAAGTCTACTCTACCCGGCAAAGTGAATTAAGAATCAGGATTTTCCACACTTTTTTTTATGGGAAAAAATCAAATGTGCATGCCTAAAGCATAAAAATATTTTTTGTTGGTGGCTTTAAGGTCTGGATTTTATATCATTCCGGATATTGGACGTTCGGATCTCGGACTTTATCCTGTGTGTGTATATATATATATATTATTTATATAATATTATATATAAAATAAGGTAAAAATATATTTATGGGTGCTTCTTGGCTATAATTGGTGATTTTTGGTGGTACATGGACACTGAGTTAGTGCAATTCTTTGACTATTATTTTGGCTTTGTATAGCGAAGATTTTTGCACCAAAAATAGCCGCTTCACAAAGCCAAAATAACAAAGAATTGTACAAACTCGGTATCCATGTACACATTGACCTGTTTTCACTTAAAAAAAAAAAAAATCGGAGAATCGCACAAACTAGGCATTTGCACTCTCTTCACTTAGTCCATGTACACATCAATCTGTATTCATTTAAAAAGGTCAATGGAGCAACCAACAAAACATATATAATCTCAGTAACTACAATTTAAATCAAACAATGAAATAACATAAAAAAGGAAACTTATCTGCTAACGATATTACCGTGCTATCAGCAGCACATTTCCCACTGTTTGACTCTAGGAATCTCTTCCGAAGTATGCTTTCATGTCATATGTGTAACCATGACGGTCCACAAGCTTGTAAATTTTAATTTCAAAACATTTTTGCTTTTTAGAAATGTATTTAAAAATTACTCTTCCCTTAAATATAACAAGTACTTCATCTACAGCCAGTTCTTCAAAGGGCTTATATGCTTCCTTAAAATTGTTTCTCAAATGCTCAGATATATCCCTTATTTTCCAAAATCGATCATAATTAGTATTGTTTCTGTCTGGTGGTCACATGTTATGTTCAAAGTACAGAAAACGAAGAATTTGCAAGAACCTATCTCTATGCATAGTTTTCTTTAAAAAAGGTGTTTCAAGCATTTCATCTGTTGACCAATCTTGTTTTTTTCGATATGCCCCATCAGTAATTTCAGCGCAAAAAAAAATTTTGCAATTCATTTTCATTAGCATCCTTCCATGTAATTGTGTACTTTTTTGTTTCTAACTCAGGTTTAAAACTGAAATTTTGCCGTAGTATTTGTTCTGCATAACGATTTGTTTGACAGTTTATTCAATAATATTTCACAGAAAAGATTTTTGTAAAATTTTGAATTGAGAGATTTTGTCCACGTTATCAGTTTGTTCATCACTTTAATTTACCGAATTAGTCAGTAAATATAAAGTTCCTTCCACATCCTCATGTTCACTTTCAGATCCATTTTCCGTATCCAGCAATTGGATTCGCTTGTAAAAGTATAGTTTAGGGTACCCCTTGGCGATTTTTGGTGGTACATGGATACCGATTTTGTGCAATTCTTTGACTCGTTATTTTGGCTTGCGAAGCGGCGATTTTTGACAAAAATCGCCACTGCACAAAGCCAAAATAACAAGACAAACAATTGCACAAACTCGGTATCCATGTACACATCCATTTATTTTCACTTAAAAAAAAATCCCCGAATTGCATAAAAATGGCATTGCGCACTCCTTTGACTTTATCCATGTACACGTCGACCTATTTTCACTTAAAAAAAAATCACAGAATTGCACAAACTTGCATTGCGCATTCCCTTTACTTTGTCCATGTACACATCGATATGTTTTCACTTAAAAAGTCAAAGGAGCACCAAATTCTACAATATAAGCAAACAAGAAATGCATAATCTCAATAAAATACATTTTAAACTGAACAATAAAATAACATAAAAAAGGAAAAACATGTTATACATTTAAGCACTACCAAAAGTAAATATTCACTTACCATGACTTTCGAGTTCACTTCGTACACCCAGAGCCACGTAAAAATCAAAATATCAATCATACTCAAATGACTTTTTTCAAACCAGGTACTCTTTCTGATTGAACGCTTCACATAGTGACCATCTGAACTTTTCTTCCTACAAACCCATTCAAATCCATCTAAACGGTTTGTACGTTCGACTAGATGAATATCCTTCCTACATACAGGACACTTATAATGGCTACTAAGTAAACCTTCATTTACACACCAGTCAATTAAAGCTCTTTTCCCCTTTCGCTCCAAATCGTACAGAAAGTTTAAATTAATCTTACTACATTCGGCCGTTCTACCGTCGAAACAATAAAACCAACACACACACAAAAACGCTTACAAAACATCCCATGATTCAAAATTTCCCAGAATCATGCACCCGATGATGTCACAATAGGGTTTTCATAACATTCAGCTACTCAGGCTACCATAAATGAAACAACAACTTGGCGATAAATTAAACAACTTCACCATAATACAAAGGGTACCTTAAAGTCTACTCTATCCGATTCGCTATCTCCATAGTTTTCATCTTCAAGCTCTTGAAGAAGTTTTTGCATTTCTTCCTCAGTCAGTCCTCTTTTCCTTTTGAGCATGTTGTTGCAAAAAATCAAAATAATTCCTAGAAAACTTACAAAAATATGTAATATTTTAAAGAAATGCAAAGCTCGGTTTACAAATGCAGTTATGCCGAATTTTACAGCTACAAGAAGGAAGAGAGAAAAATTTAACACAAAGACCTTTGAAAGAGATAAATGGTTAAAAACCCCAGGGTCGTCAAATTTGACATTTCATCCCACATTTTCAGCCTAGAAAATGGGGGGAAAAGATATGGCCACTAAAGTGGACAACCCCATTCTTTCAAACGGGTCATTTTATGGTCATTATAATTGCCATCCCATCTTCAAAGAGTGAATGGATGTCGGCAGCTTACATCAGCATCAGCCAGTCATCTATGAATGGTTTCACGTGATACCATCAGATGCCTGGAAGGTGGTAAATGTCATCGAATCAATGCTAATATCTTTGTTGGTGAAGTGACTGCTCTTATGACTGTGCGATCCTCATGCTCATTTATGTTCGTGAGACACCCTGACTCTTCGTGACAGTAGACTGCCCCTTCTATGATCAGTTGTTGCCAACACTTAGCAACTACCATATTGCTCCGACCAAGATGGTGGCCGAGATGCCTGTTCGACCAACCAGCTTCTCTGAGGCCTAATATATGCCCCTTCTTAAAGTCTGACAACTGTTCATACTGTCACCGGTTACGTCCCAAAAGCATCTGTAGTCTCAATACTGTGCATCCAAGTTCCTACATTTTGAGTTTCGTGATTGTGGCTCGATTTCTTCTCGATGCATATGTTCTTTTGTAACAGAGTGTATAGTCATATATATATAATAGTATATATTCTTATTAAGTTTTCCTATACATTAGATTGTGAAATACTTAAATATATATAACTGTTTATTTTCAAAGATCCATTTCCAGCTGAGGAAGTTCACCAGTTTGATTTTTACTCAAGATTTCTGAAAGCAAAATTTCTGTGACCATGATGAACAAGCCTAATCAGATTTAGTCTTTTTATTCCGGGATTACAAGCAAAGTTTCCCCTACAGTCATAGTTTATTTTAAAAAAGAAAAGAAAATTTGAAAGGATTCAGGCTTTATGCCAGAGGTTTATTAAAGCTTTTACTGATCTTGAAATTCAGCAATCTGCTCTTGTTTCACTCCTGCTAACTCAATTTTTTGTGTTTTTAATTTAATTATATAACAGCGCATTTTTTTTTTTCATTCTTACATCACATAAAATTCAACAGTAAAATAGCAACACTTTTAAAAGGCAGCATATTTTTAGAATTTCCTGTAGAGTGTTTAGTATCACCATTTTTACTTCCTTGTATAAAGCAAAAAGGAAGTATTGTAATCACGAAAAATTCCGGGTTTCGTATTTCAATGAAAATATCCATTTTGACCGCTGTCGAATGCAATTTAATGATGTTTTTGCCTGACATCTGTACATAAGGAATGAATAAAGGTCTCTTTTTCCCCGAAAAAATTATAAAACTGATTTAAAATGAATTCTGAAGCGATTTTATTGTGGCGTCTCTACGTAGGCATGTATCTCACATTACTCAAAAACGAGTAGCTTCAGAACGTTGAAATTATATATGTACGACTGCTATAACATGTAGATGTGCACCTCTCATTTTGGTTGCAATTACCCGCACCAAAAGTATATAAATATATATATATCTACTCTGTTACTTGGCTCGGTGAGCTCAGTTTCTTTATTCTTTGTGCATTTTTTGCTTTAAAAGTGATTGAATTATGTTGTTCTCTTTAAGATTTTTATACCTTTAGTTAACCTGCATGCAATAATTGGGGAATTATCAACAATTTGAAAGTTTTTTAAGTCCAGCTAAGCCTAATTTTTTATTACCATGGGAGCCATGTTTGTTTACATTTGAAACTTGGTAGATTTATTCCCAATCTAGAAATACTAAGCTTCACAACAACAGAGTAATGTCTTCTTTTATTATTGCAAATTAAATTATGCTTAATTCATTCTGGAATTGTCATTTCAGTTATTAGCTTATTTTTGCATAGAAACTAATTTTAATTGTATACAATTTTTTTAATTGTTTTAACTGTACTTGGGTGTTTTATATTTGTCTATATCTTTCAATTTTTAATGAAAATATTTTGAATTTTTATGTATTTTTTCCTTGCCACAAAGTGAGAATTTAATTAATTAGTAGCACATGCGCATTAGATAAGCGGCGCTGAATCATCTGCAAAAAACTGTTTCTTTTTTATATGTTTAATTTCTTTTATACATCGTTTTAGATTTATAATAGTATTTGAATAGAACTTGTGGATATTCTTCAGGTGATATCACTTTTGTGCACTCTGGGTTATAAAATGAATGAGGTGTAATGCTGTTAAGTGGACCTAGCGCCAAAGTGTCACTATGGTAAATAAATATAGAGAATTTTAAAGAGTGCATTTATTCTGTTGTGGTTTATGCGCTATCCATGAAGTAGATTTAATTCAAAATTCGTTAACTGTTAATTCAATATGATTAAATGAAATGCAGGAAAATTGCGTATAATTTAATATTCCATACAAGGAAGTCATGGTGTACACATCAGATTTGTTGATTAAAGTTTAAACAAATATCTTACATTTTGTCAATACAGTGCATTTAAATTGCTGAGCTTTTATTCAAAAGTTCCTTAAATTCACATTAAATACAAAATTAATAAATAAATAAATTTGAAATAAGAAATTGAGGCTTCGAGGTGCCCATGTTTCATTGAAGGACTACTCGTGATGAATATTTTGGTAGTCTGGGTGTAGCTAAAAAGGCAATGCAAAGAACACTATTACATACACATAGATAGACGCAGCACACAGATTCTTCATTATTTAGTAACAGATGATCGAATTTTTTTTTATTATTATTTCAGAGCCAGAGAAAGAATTTTTTGCATGTGTTGGAGATGTTGAATTTATTTCCTTTTTATGTTAAAGCCATTAACTTTTTTTTTTTTTTTTTTTTCTTTTACAGCCTCGAGAGCAGTCGATTGTCTTCTAGAATCTCCTTGGGCAAAAGAAAAGAAGAAAGGTGAACTTCATTTTCCAAATCGTGTTGCTGCTGTCGATTTTATGGCTGTGTAAGAATTTTGTATTTAATTTTTATAATCATTTTTGTATGCAATTAATATAAAAATGCTTAACATTATTGTTTTGTTATGCACCTATCCATTGTGTTGGCTCAAAAACAATTTTTTTTTTTTTTTTTTTTTTTTTTTTTTAGTATTGGGAGAAAATTACTAAACATTTCTGCATACTGCTTTTTTGTTTTGTAATGAACAAGTCTAAGAATAACTTGTTTGGGGAAATGAGATTATTAAGGAAATTCCATTTTAGTATATGTTGCTAGCAATTGAATATAATATCCACTATCTATATATGAGTATCCATCCTATCACATGGTAGATAGTTTCTAGAAAATACTGTGTTGTGTGAAATCTTATTGCATGAGCATAACAGCAAATGTAGAATAGAGTGATGTGTTTCGAAAACTTTTAAAAACATATTTTTTTTGGTACTATTCGGTTTCGAGGGCCGTGAAAAATTTGCAGTGAAAATGTATGTGCGAAATCGCCAAATCTAGCAAACGCGCCCGTTTAAAGCACGCCAAATCTCGCGTACACACTAATTTCAGATTGTGTATGTTTATATAGTTCTATATTTCTTAAGACGCCATTGAAATAGTTTAATTTTTATTTCCTTTTTTGATATCCTATGAATTTAACAATTTGGGAATTGCCTATGATGAAAAGTCTGTGATAGAATTTTGGGTAAAGTGCAGAATCACCCACTGCTTGACGCGTTTTTAAGAATTACACATACTCGGTATCCATCTACACATCGACTTATTTTAACTTAAAAAAAAACCCCAGACTTGCACAAAAATGGCACCGCGCACACCCTTGACTTTATCTATGTACACATCGACCTATTTTCACTTAAAAAGTAAAAGAAAATGGGCAAAATTCCAATTGTTTTTACCCTTGTAAAAAGCAGCAAAGAAGTAAGCGGGTGATTCTGCACTTTACCGAAAATGTTTTCAAAGAAAAGACATCATTCATTATAGAACATTATGTTTGAACAACCATCGAGACGACATTATGCTTTAGCAATAACTCGGTAGTGAAATATTATATGAAATTGACCTTTTATCTAAATTAAAACATCAATATTTAGATAGTTATTTATTATTATACTTCCTTTCTTGCTTTAATGTTGTCGCAATTACTTTTGGCAGTACTGGCATCAACAATAGTTTGGCGATATTTTACGACCCTCGAAACTGAATACAGTCAAAAGTCATTAATTTGGACACCCATAATCCGGAATGATCTATAATCCGTACCTCAAAGCTAAAAACTTCCTGCGCATGCGCCGTGTTGACACATGCGCATAGGCATTTACGCGTGTGCGTAAGTACTTTACGACTGCGCATATGCGTGTGAGCAAGCGCCGAATACGTTTTCGCTAAAATTATCTAATTCAGTTAATGTTGCAGATTGCGTTGTTCTTTAATTATCGAATTGGATCTGGCTTATTATTTTTTGCAGACTGTGTAAGAGCAATTTTATAAAAGTAAGCTTGAACTTTCGATTATGTCAAATAGAATTTCGATGCTGGAGCTCCCAAAGGATCTACAAAACGAAAGTATGTTTCAATGTCCATCAAACAAAAAGTGGAATTGCTCCAAAAAATGGATAAAGGCATATACTTTGTTTATCTAACCATTCCGAAATCTGTTTATCAATTTCACGCTGGTCTGTGCGGGGGTGACGTCGCAGCGCGCAATGAACTGGAAGTTGATTTGTCAGCACTATCGTTATCTTCAGGGCAGATTTTTTATTTTATTCGGCTTATAAATCAAATTCCTCGTCATTATAAATATCACGAATACAAATCAAATAGTTTTCTGGTTGCAATTTTCTAATTTCGGCTATGCATAATGTATGCTTTACGCATGCGCGCGTTGAAAGAAATGTTTAATAAAGTAAACAAATAAATATTAAGCTTTTTTTTTTTTTTTTTTTTTTTTTTTTTTGTAAATTTTGCTACCCTTTAGATCAAATTGCTCATTATTTTATAAATTACGGTTTCATATTTTTTATAATTTATAATTTCTGCATGCCATCTTACCAGATTTAAACTGATGATCTATAATCCGGAATCGCCGAAGTCCCGACGAGTCCGGATTAAAGACTTTTGACTGTAGTATCTTTTTTTTTTTTTATTTAAGGTTCTCTCTGCTGTCTCATTTAATTTTATACCTTTTTGCAACCTGAAGTGATTATTCTTTTAACAAATCTTTCAAAATTTTTATTTTCATCTCCAAAGAAATAAATTTTCTGTTAAAATTTGTTTTCTTACGTTCAGAAATATTTTGGGATTGAAATATAATTTCACAATAATTACTCTTGAAATGGCAAAGCTAATTAACCAAAAGTAACATGTATCCAAAAGTTTCTCCCCAAATTACAGTTATATATTGTTACGTTTTTCTTTGTATGGGTTTGTGGATTTGGAGTGAATAAGGACAACACTTGATGAAGTACTGAAACACAATTTATTAGTCAATATTCTCAGGACAGGTTCAAAATCACGTTTACAGTCATCGAAGAAGTACTATGAACATGCTGAAACAGTTAGTGACACAGCCTTCAGGCTATAACGGTGAAGACAGCTTCACGACAAAGCACCAGAGTACAGCTCCCAATTTTGCTTGGGCGTTCTCGGAACTCTACATACTCTCAAGACTCTCCACAATATAACTCACGGTGCACTCGACAATACACTAAAGTACAGCTCTCGACTCGGTTCGGGTGTTCTCTTAGCTCAACAAACTCTTAAAACTCACGATGCATTAACTCACAATACAGTAAGATACTCTTTCGATGCACTAGACTACGAGACACTCGCTCACAGACTATTAACTCACTCGACTAGGCATTGAGCACCGATTCTCCATATACCAGCAGAGTTTATATAGCTTTTGGCTTGCGTTCAAGAACATTCTGAGCCAAATCGATAAGAATTCGTTCCAGAAGGTTCTCCATCCATCTATGGCATAATGTCATTTTTGTCGCCAAATGTGGCAACCCTGTCATCCCTTGTGGGAAAGCTATCCTACCTTGCCTAGACATTTCATAACAATATTTTATGCAGTCTACCAACTGAATGCTTATAGTTACTATGTAAATGAAGGTCATTCACTTTCAAAAGAATATTATCATGAAAAAAAGTGTGTATCACCAGAATTTATTTTATTTTTGTGTGTATAAATAAAGAGATTGTTATAGTGTACTACACATGGTGACATAGTACATAGCTTAATTTCATAAATGCTTAGAATAAAAATCATATCATTGAGATAGGTACATACATAAAGTGTTATAAGAGGATTTATACATATTCATTAATTTTTCAGAGTGAAACCGGGTTTACATGCTACACTGCAGATTTCGCAGTTTTCTTATCGTATTTCCAGGGCCTGACATAGCCTAACTGCGGCCCGAGGCAAAAACGTTTTTGGGGCCCCCCCTCTGCTTCTCACTACTTCAGTAATGAACAAGGGAACATTTTGGAGATATTTAAATTTTTATAATAATAAACTTTCTACAGTACAAAGTCTGAAATCCGAACCTCAAAACCACCACTGTTTTCTCGTAGGCTTTACGCAGGCGCATTTGATTCTCCCATCCGTGCATAATAAAACATCCGAAGAGTCCCAATTCTTAATTTCACTTCAACACTAAAAAAAATACCTTGTTATTGAAGAAACAATCATTTTAGCATAAATTTGTACAATCAGTAATTTAGCTCCATTGCTGTGTATTTCTTTGGCACGCATCTCAAACCGAGACATTTCACATAGATACATCGTTGATCTGATGCCAACCTTGTGAATAATTATTTATTATTCATCACCGCATGTTTATCAAAACATGACAACTTGAGTAATGACTCATGTAGCGATGCCTAAACAATTTTTTTATGTTAGTCATCGAATAATAAAGGAGTCTGGTAACCTTTTTTTATGTTGACATTACGCTTGGCGATGATTACAGATTTAATTTAAATGCGCTAAAAATTTTTGACGAAATATTTACCAAAAATTTCCTTCCATATGCTAAAAATAGATTTTGTTGATGATACTCATAGACCCAAAGATTGCATTTAGGGCTATTTGAATTAAGAATAAACCCAGAACCAGCGCCAGAGCTCGTATGGCCATACTGAATCACAGAATTTAGGACCCAAAGAGGCGATAAGATATCTAGCGCCAGACCTCAATAAGGCTCAAGTATATGTGGAAATTTATTTATTTAGATCTCTGATAAGCCTTAAGTGTATGCAAGAAATAGACATAATTTTAATAAATAACTAAACTAATACAATTCAGGCTTAATTGTCTCAGTGTGCGATAGAAGCAAGATAAAATTTAACGGAACAACGTGTCGTTAGTCGCCAAGCGCATGATGCATAGCCAAATATGTATAGTGAAGGACAGCTAAATTTGATGACGATAGAAGCTAATTTTAAAGGTTTTCGGATATCGCAAAACAAAAGTGAAATTTTCCAGTTAATGGATTTTGTAAAGAAATGTGGAGCTGTGATAATAAATGAAGATGATATAAAAGAAGTTTTTCATTGTGATGACAATGTTTCTCAATCATCAATCAATTAATGAATGGCAAAATCTGTAGTTTGGTTCTAGAACCAGAAAATACCATTACCGATAGTGAAGAAAGTGACAGAGAAGTTACCGAAAACGAGAAAATTTCAATTGATAAGTTAGTCGGAATTCTCGAACCAGCAGTTGCAGGACTTCAACAATATAACTGAAGAAGAGATTATGTCTGTCTACAGAATTAAAAAGAAAGTATTAGAACCCCCCCCCCCCCAAAACAAGGAAGCAACTTAAACAGCTTACATTGAAAGAAATGTCTAACAAACAAATATTAAGCCCCCCCTTTTTTTATACCCTTTATTAAATCATAAATACTTCATGATTTTATAAATCAGGATTTCATATTTTTAATTTTATAATTTCTACATGCCATCTTACTAGATTTAAACTGATGATCTAATATCCAGAAAAATCCTAAATTTGAAAACTACGAATCCGAATTTCGGACTTTGTACGGTATTTGATTTGGGGGTTCTTCTGTCATATGGAGGCCTGTGGCAACTGCCCCATATGCCCCTGCCTTAGTCAGGCTCTGCATGTTTATAAAAAGAACTGCATTATGATCTTTCTTTGGAAGTTTTGAATCATGTTCTGCCCAGATGCTAATAGTAAGCTTTATGAAGCATCTGTGACATTCTTGTACCTTTGAGGATTTGTTTATGAATTTTTCATCACCAAAATTTCACTTAACTTGTTATGTTTCGTACTGATCCATACCGTACCATGTAGAAATGCACTCTTTTGCAAAAAAATCGAAGCACCACAAAGGTTTTTGATGAAATTGAATGTGTTTATAGCTCATACACAGATAATAAAATGATTAAAGGATCAAGGTCATAGTACCTGTTCACGGCTCACAATCACCTGTTCAGTGTTCAAATTATTAGTTGTTCGAACTGCTCCTGGCGGCAGTGCATGCTTGAATTCGTCGAGACAAGGAGTGGTAGAGGTTCCTAATATAATCCTGTGACACATTTTGCCAGGCATTCATCAGTTGTAGCTCCAGATCTGTGATATTTTGTGGTGCCCAAATCTAGGGGCCTACTATGTCCCAGACATGGCCGATTGATGAAAGGTCTGGTGACTCACTGGCCAAGAATTGTATCAACCACACGGAGACAGCCCAAAGATATGCGAGTGGTATGTGGCCTGACATTATCTTTTTGGAAAATGGCGCCAGAATGAAGTACCATAAAGGGAATGCAACCGGCCACAGGATGGTATCAATATATCGTTGACCTGTTAAAGATGTAGGGAGGAAAGATGACCTGCTGTCATAAGAAATAGCGCCTCACACCATCACACCAGGAATTATGGCTGTATGCCTGTGTGAAACAAAGGCTGATTGGGACCGCTGGCCCTGTCCTCTCCAGACATGAACACGGTGGTCATCTGCTTTAAGAGTGAAGCAGGATTCATCTCTGAACACTATATGATGCCAGTCTGATGGCAGCCATGATGATCGACTGCGACACTACTCCAGATGGCTCCGCAGATGTTGTGGGGGTCAAAGGCAAACTTCTTAAAGGCTTCTGTGAGCATAACCCCGCCTCAGACAAGCGCTGTGAGATGGTGGGTGGTACCACAGGAGGTATAGACGTGGCTGTAGTGCATTGAATAGTCGACAATTATGCCATTGGGGCAGTTCAGTCCTGGTGAACATTCATCCTATCTTGCCTCGCATTTGTGCTCCTTGGCCTTCCAGAGCCTTCATCGACAATTTCCTTGTAGCAACCATTGCTGCCATCTTTGCACAGCAGTTTCTGTACTCTGCAGGTAGCAGCCTATTGCTCGATATGACCACCCTGCTTCATGCAAGCCTACAATGAGACCACATTTTCAAAGTCGTTTAGTTGTCTGTAAGGTCTTATCGTCGTAAATGACATCTTTAGTTGCTTCTTTACGGAATTGCAATGGCAGCAACAAAAAAAGATAAGTTTTCCGCCTCTGTTATTGGTTTTATACTTTGCAAATTGCACACTAGAAATACACACTATGATTACAATTCCTGTTCATTTGCCTTGAAACTTTGGTCATTTGCATGTTCGATCAGGATGTTTTCGCATACCAAATTTCATCACGATCGCAAAATTGCAAAAGAGTGTATCATCATTATATTAATATATTTTTATTTAATTTAAAGTGAATAATTCGTTAAAATATGTTTATATATGCATGTCTTTACTTTTCTATTAATTATCTTTTAAATTGTTTATTGCACAATCAATGACGTTGTGAACAACAATAGAGATGCATAAAAAATGAAGGTATTGCTTATGCAATAATGAGAATACTAATTAAATTTGTATGCTATTAGTTTTATTGTAAATGCTACTTACTCATTACATATCAAGTTTATGGATTTAGAGGTATTATTATGCATGATGAAAAATAGACATCATTAATACACATCTTATTCATTACATTAATACTAATGAACATATACATCAACAACTTCTGAACCATCACATTCTCTGTCTTTGTACATATAAATATATGACTTATTAGATCTGTATTTTATATGCATGTATGAATATACAAGTGAAAATTGCCAGGAAGTTTATTTGAAGTCACTTCTAATTCATATAATGATCATCTAATTGACAGTAGTTTTATTTATCAGTACTTTGCACATTATCCTGGTTATGGAATACATAATTGAAAGCATAGACACTGTGTAAATGTTTTGTTTTGGGAATGATACATAATTATATTATATGTATGATTTATATGATATAAGCATAACTTACGAATAATTATGAGAATGTAAATATTAGCCATATAAATTTTTGATTTTTGTCATAAAATGTCCCTTTTTATGCTTTTTTAATTGTTATCATGGACAGAACAGTATGAGCCACATAATTAAATTTAGCCTAGGAAAGGTTTTTATCAATTCACAAATTTGCCAACGTGCTGGCTACTTTCATAGGAGTGTAGATATCAAAAAGTATCAGATGCGAGTGTCACTCTGAAATTTTCTAAGATACACTTAGGTTTTTTAAGTTATACTTCTAAAATTTTAGGAGTGTTCAAAATACTCTTCTCTAGCATCAGTATATATCTATAGGCAAATTTTCCAAAGATTAATGCCCAAAGCCGTTATTTTTTTGGATTGAATGAAAAAAATGCATTTATAACCTCATCACTCATCTTCGGAGTGAAAAAGACTTCCACGTAATTCTTTTTTCGATTAAAAAATAGTGAAAAGTCACACATAGCTATATCAGGTAAATAGGGTGGAATGTTCTATCATTTTAATGTGTTTTTGTTGATGAAACTCAGCAGTCAATTTTGCTGAAGGAGATGTAGAGGATGAGTCCTAACACTCATTTCTTGAAGATTTTCTGAAAGAGCAGTTAGTTGTGACTATCTTCTGTCCTTCCAACTTGATTGCTTTGACCAGTCCTGTGCTTCTGAAGAAAATGGCATGCATTACTTTTTCATGACACATTATCTTTTCACCATTGTGGGCATGGGTCATCTTCAAAGACCCATACTTTACTTTCTTGATGTGTTGGAGCGTCAAAAAATGGTATATATGTTTCATCACCAGTTACAATTTTAGAAATAATGCACTGGCCACCATCTTTAAGTAATTATCATATGTAATTCTTCATGAATAATTTTATGTATGGCAGCACATACAACATTAAGTTCCTTTTGTATCATTTGTTAGGTGCAACGATTATCATCGATTAACATTTTCTGTATGGCAAACACATTGTTGAGAATTATTGCTGACAACAGCCTTCCTGTGTATGTTCTTTGTCCTCAAGAGAGTTGCAACCTCTGTGAAATTCCGTAAACCATCTGAATAGTGCAATAATGTTCTCCCACCAACTCCATTTTTGCTTCTGCCTAAAATTTATTCTATGCTAAGCTACTTGAAATTCGCCGATAAAAAATCATCTCCTAGGCTGAAATATTTCATATTTTAAAATCTAACCATTAAATTTTTTCTATTACTTATTGTTTGCAAGTATTTCAAAAATTTCAGAGTGACCTCTGTAAGATGTACATTTTTATACACAAAATACGCACTATTAGAATGGTCATTCAAATTCAGTAAAAATTTTAATTAAAAAATATGGCAAACTTTTAGGATAAAAATTTTAGTTTTTTGTCAGATTTGATAAAGTGTGCACCTTTTATTTTTTTTTTCGGAAAATTCTGAACAACTTTCTTTCAAAATAAAATATATTAACCTTTTATTTGGCACAGTTGCTCAGAAGCAATATGTTTTTCATTGGCTGTTATAGGAGATCTTTCACCATTTCCCAATTAAAGGGAAATGTTTCACTGTTTCAAATGTTAATAATTCATTTTTTATAAATTCAACCAAACACCTTGCTTTATTAATTTCTCCATTGATTACATTAAAAATTTGTTCACGGTATTCTGATATTGCAGGACTTGAAAAAAAAAATGTGAAACTGTTTAAAAAATATTCATACTTTTATAATCAACTGGTTTTAAAATCACATGCCATTTGCTACTTGATGTTTTGGATCTTGGTAAGTTTTTTTTTGAATTAATGTTACTTCATCAAAAAGGTCATCCACATTCAGATCTAGTTTTTATTTGCTTCAAATCTTGAATAACTTCAAAAAATTTCTAGTATGCTAGAAATGAATTATTTAACAGACTTGGAATTGGCAATTTGTCAAATGTAGAATTTTCATCAAAGTGTTCTAAGAAATAAATAAATATTCAGTAATCTCTGAGATTCTGCATTATGTAACTTTTTCAAATGTTGATGAATTGAAAAGCCAAAAAATTCCTGATCATATTGAGATTTAAGCTTATTTCTTAAGTTAGTCAAAACATTGAAAATATCTAAACCAATTTTTTTTTCTTCTCTGGTTCTTCAATAGCTAAGCTCAATACTGCCATTACATAACATTAGCACAGTAAATATATTTTAATATTTGGTGTGATTTCAATAGAATTATCATCGATTAAAAGCAGTTTAAATAATTTTTTAGAACAGTGGTGGTTTGCTTAAGAAATGAGAACTTAAAGGATTTTTAATTTCAAAATAAAGGACATATTGCAATTTTCTTGAACTCAAAAACAGAACAAGACAGGAAAAGCTTATTAAAAGATTACCCTTTCTAAAAAGAGGTTGCAACCTTAACTGAATGGTACCTATTCAAGTTTAACATAAAATTATACATATTCATCGAGTTTATTTTTAGTGCAGCTTTTTATAAAATTCTTACTAAAATATTATTTAATGTTTATTAATTCATTAATTGCAGGTTACTTGAACATAAGTTTTTCCACCGTGCCAAAAAGATAGTAGTATTGAAAGAAACAAAGAAAAAGAAAAAAGATACAGAAGAAGCGGCTCAAGAATCTGGAAAAGAAAAAGATTCTAAAAAGACCAAAGGAAAATCAGATGAGAAAGAAGGGAAAGAAAAAGAAGAAAAGGATGCCAAAAAAGTATACTTTTTGTATTATTCATGTTTCTAAAGTTACTTTTACCTTTTTCAGTGTCTTTTCTCTTGTCTCTCTTGGTAAAAATAATATAATTATGTTTAATTATACTTCGTAATCCAGAAGTTCTGTGTTTTTTCAAATTCTGAAGCATATTTTTTTTTATTTAATTTATTACTGCTAATAAGTTGTGACCTTGATCAAAGCAGATGATTAAATAAGGTCTTTTCTGGTCACACTGCATAATTCTAGTATATCTTGTGGCATAATTTTTGTTTCAGTATATTTCTGAAATTGGAGAACTCCCAAAATTCATTTTTGTTATATTGTGCTGTTAATTAAAAAAGGGGGGAAGTGCTGGACAGAGTGTTAAAAAAATGGTATTCTATGTGAACAAAGTACTGTTTCTGATGGAACAGTTCCAAGGTGATTCCAAAAGAGAAAGTGCAGAGATTTCATTCTTGAAGAGGATATCTGCTCTGTATGACCATTCTCTGTAAACAAAAACTTATTAACGGAATGTGCCACTGAAAATTCACATTATACAGTTTAGGAATTGTCAGACAGACTAAATGTTCTATAAAATACAGTACAGGATCATGAAAATTAGGTGTGTAAACTGCTATGATGTAGGGTTACTCCATACTTCATGCTTGCCTGAGTTTCAGCTTGTGATTTTTTTCTCCCAAAAGGAAATAAAGAAGCTTCTTTTCTGAAATGGCTCATTACTGCAGATGAGATGTGGATACTATACAATAATGTGTAGAGTCATTAGGTTGTATAGATGCTGGAACGTGAAAATTGTGCAATGCTCTTGCCAGAACATCAGACATCCCAAATATGCGTCGAGCATGCTTTCAGTCTCACCATGAAGACATTTGGAAAGGAGGGAGAAACTACCTTATAAATGTTATAAGAAAAAGATCATTGGTAAGCCAAAAGAACATTCTTCAATAATATTGAGAGTAGGGCTGCAACTCCCGAAAGTTATGCTTTCTGTATGGTAGGACTACCAAGAAATTACATATTATGAATTGTTGCCACCAAATTGAACAATTCAGAAAAATATTGTGAATATAAGTGATCATTTGAATTGCTGAAGTAATATAGTCCTATTGCAGTCCTATTGCTAGAAATAGGGGCTAATCTTTAGAATATGGTAATAGGTAGTTTGGTGACATTTTGGTAAGGCGATAAAGGTTACTAGCTAGGACTTTAACAATAATCTGAGAAGTACACAGTTCGAATCACAGATTATTTTGTCTCGAGAAATGAGAGATCATGAGACATGTAATGTGACATTTTCCGGAAAATTCCAATCGTGATTTTAGCTAATAAGCACTTAGAAACAATTTCGCTGCTAAAGTGCAGAATTGCCCACTTATTTGTTTGGCACTTTTTACAAGAGTAAGAAGAATTGGATTTTTGTCAATTTTCTTTGACTTTTTAAGTGAAAATAGGTCGATGTGTACATAGATAAAGTCAAGAGTGTGCGCAATGCCATTTTTGTGCAATTCTGGAATTTTTTTTAAGTGAAAATAGGTCGACGTGTACATGGATACTGTTTATGTGCAGTTCTTAAAAATGCGGCAAGCAGTTTGCGATTCTGCACTTTCTCCCAATTTCACACCTAATCTTCGTCATGATTAAGCATTTTTGTTCCATAAAAGTTCTAGTATAAGCGTAATTCGGCTAGCAACATCTTTGGAAAAAATGTTGAGTAAAAAAAAAAAAAAAAAGACTTCGTGAAAACAAGATGGCGTCCAAAACAAAACTAGCAAGTTGCTGTAGCAGGGTTGATCGCCAAAAAATCGCCAAATTACCATAAACTAGATATTCACTGAAATAGCTTCTTTTAACAGGTATTTGTTTACAGAGAATCTTCGAGCCTAAAATTTCCACACCTTCCTCAAACTATTTTTGAACTGTGTCATCAGAAACTGCATTTTCTCCATACACAGCACAAATTCAATGTGTAATATGACTAAGATTATTTCCTTTTTAAAAATAAATGGCATAATATGACAAAAATGAGCTTTTGGATTCTCCATTTAGAAACCTGAAGGCCTGAAACAAAAATTATGCCACAGCATTGCTAGAATTCTGCAACATGAGCAGAAATATTGCATTTAAGTATCTGCTTCCATCAAGATCATTCCATATTGACAGTAGCAAAATAATTAAAAGAAAACATGCTTTAATTTAAAAATTTGCATAACTTTCTGGATGTTTCAATTATATCTTAGTTTAAATACTGATAAGTTGTGAATTTTGTTTAGCACAATAAAAATGAAAGACCTTTTTTTTTTTTTTTTTTTTTTTTTTAAGTTGAAATGGAAATGTATTGATAGAAGTTGATTGATCTTTGAAAAGGGAATAAAAATTAGTCTTATTAGTAACTTTTTTAGTCAATTAGAAAAATAGTTTCATTATTTAATTGTATTCCAAAAAGGAGTTTCATATTATGGAAATAATTATATCTTGTTTTTACCTCCTAGCAACCTGTATACCTGGTAAGGGAGATAATCTTTTTGGTCCAGAAATTTGCTGATGAGTTTTTCAACGATACTCGCGAATTAGGTTCCCCATAACATATTTTTATGATTTTTCCAGTGATGTTTATCCATTTGTCTGTCTACGTGTGATGATTTCCCCCCTCCCAATAGTAATTTTATTAAACTTCCAAAAATTTCTGTTTTCTGTAATTTAGCTTTTTTCATTCATATAAAGAATTGATTAGATTTAGGTAAAATTGGATAACGAGAAATGATACTTTTCTTGAAGCTGTGAACAGATTTTTTCTAAAAAAATATGTTAGAATCCAAAATTTAACAAGTATTAGAGAACAATAGTGAGCATTATTTGCTGGCACCTAAATATTGTGAGCATATATATGCAGATCAGGATGAATTTAGATTGATTGATATAATAGAAGTAACATAGATGAAAATTAAATTATGGTATTTATTTTAAATATATTGTAAACACTTAATTTTCTATAAAAAGCAGTTCCATTGTGTGTTATTCAACTGCATAATAAAATACATTTTTAATTTAAAAAATAAAGAGGTGAACACTGGATTATATTGGTGTAAATCCAGAAAAACCAATTTTTATACATGGCCAGTTAATTATATCTAATAAAATGGAATTCATATTTTATATTACAGAACTTTCTATTTATTGGAACAACAAATTAAACTGTGTTTCCAGATGATCAAGTGGAAGTGATACTGTAGTTAAAGTTCATTGCTATTTAAAACATGAAATTGGAGAAAGGTCATGTGCTGGCCACATCAGATTTTAATTACATAATCTTTGTTGAAATTGCATTGCGAATAAAAAAATTTTGTTGCAAGAGAGTGCTTTATAAATTTCTTGAAGCTAGCATCATATCTTTCAAAAGGCTCTTTATTAAGCAGACATTGTTCTTAAAATTTGTTAAGTTATGAATCTGCTTCACTGAGAAAAGATATTTGTCATCCCATTTAAAAAATAAGAAAGTAATAATAACATATTTACTTCTTTAAAATCTTAATTATTTTATTTAAAAGCTCGCACACAATTTTATTATATGAGCATAATGTATGAGGTCTTAATTAAGGCATTATGATTATTTGTTTGATTAATTTTATGAATGCTTGATTGAACTTTATCAAATCCATCAACCGTGGACTCTATGAACTTTATTTTTAATGCAATTGCATTTTATTAAATTTTTTTAAACCTCTTTCATGTAAATATGTTTCAAAATGTATAGTTTTAAATTACATATTTTAATATGAAAAATGTAATTAATTTTGTTATTATTTAAAATTAAAATAAATCTAGTTAATGATGAATGTGGGACAATAGCTATTAATCAATTGTAAAGGTCTGGTATCCCCATTCATCATGAACTGAACTGCTAGAGGTAATTTTGAAAATCGCAGGCACATCAGAATTTTAAGCAAGCTACGAAAACATGCCTAATCCAAAAGTTTGTAGTGTTAATACATATTATGTCTATTAAAATGTATGATTTTCATGTTAAATGAATTAATTAGATATTTCTGTTCACAAGTAAAAACTTTTGTATTAACTTTTATGTTATGATGGTACTTTTATATTAATGGGGCACCACTTAATGCCAAACATAAACGTTGGCACAAATTTCTAATTAGATGGCAGAGCCCTAACCATATGTAAAGCTTCATTGAAAAAAATTAACCTCTAGTAACAGTAGTGAATCATGTAATATGATGTGTAGTGCCAAAACTGTGCAGTTCACTTTCTAAGTGAAAAGAGATTACTGTATACATGGGGAGAACTATTATAGATTGCTGTGTGCATAGAGAGTATTATTGTTCTCTGCATGAACACAGTGAACTGATTTTGCTCTAAAAAAAATCAGAATTGGAGAAATTCAGCAACACACACAACCTTGCTGTTCACATTAAGCACAGTCTGGCTGTCTGCGATGGAATACAAACAGGTTACTATATTTGATTGTGCCCTGTTGATACAAAAGTATCGCTTTACTTAATCTAAGCAAAATTAGGCTTAGTAAATAGTGTTTGATTTTTTTCCCCCTCCTCCCTAGGATGGAAGTGAAACCATTGAAAAGAAGAAGGAGAAGAAAAAAATAAAATTAGATATGCATCTGGAGCAAATTTTTGTTGATAGCAATGAGGTTATTAATTTTTTTTAATTGTTCCTCTTTTTAATTTGAATTTTCTATGGTAAGATTGATTGAAATTATAAAAACTAGTAATAGTTACACGAAATGCTTCTTTTTATAGTTGTATTATATTATATAGTGTCCATATTCTTTTAGGGAGCATACAACATTAACTCTAAGTCAAAGACGAAGTAGGGAATTCTTGCTATGTTCTTGAGAATAAATACTGCAGAAGAGAGATTTATATAACCTTTTTATTTAAACTAAATTAGAACAGATGCATGCACATCGTGCTCACAAATCACCACCACTTGTGGCTACATAAATTAATAAAAGAACATAACAAATCACTAGTGAATTAAGATATCTAATAACTGGTTCTTTAGCTTAACTAACGCTAAATCAGCTATGTACAGCAAAGCCTAGACGAGGAATATCAGTATAAACTGAAGGGTGTCTAACACCGCCTAGAGAGCTAAATTCAAACATGCAGCATAAACTGGGATCTAAGTCCACTACTATTCTTTTTGAACTTTTGACATGCAGCTTAAATACTGCTTCTGAAACATGTTTAAATTTGAGTACTACATCATAACAAAATTTACCTTCTGGCAGGAAACTGAAATCAGGAGGGAAAGGAAAACGAAAAATAATTAGTTAGAATAAAATAAATCCTTACAGTATTTATTATCATCATGAGGTAAAGTACTGTAGATGTTTTTTGACAACTATTTATTTTTATTTATTTTGAAATGATGCACTTTATAGCAATTTATCATAAGCAAATAATATTTTTAAAATGGAAAGGAGAAATACCCTTTTTGAAATTAATTCTTTGAAATCATTTTGTATTTGTACATATACATAATCAAGGTATAATTAAAGTAATTAAATCAATTAAAAGTGGAACTACTAACATAAAAATAATATTTAAAATAGAAATCTGAAACAATAACAAAATAATACAACTAAATAATTATCTAATTAGGTATTTCATTAATTTCAAAATATACTGCACTACTTTAATAATCTTAATTTTGCAGTTTCTAAGCTATAGTGGCAAAATATCTAACAGGAAGGCACAAAACAAAAACAGTTTGAAACAGACCTAGAATTAAAGAAAGCTAAATAATAGCTTGTATTTCCCTGTATTTTGCCAAGGAGCAGCCAAAAGAATTATCAGCAGAGCCACACTTCTGAATCATATTATTATTAAAATACCCTAAGCTTTCCAAATGTAGAAATTAACAAGAAGCAATTTAAATTTTCAAAAATTAAATTCCAATTTAGGTTTAAAAAAGAAAATACTCAAAACAAAACAGGAGAACTTAAGATTGTGCCAAATACAAGCAAAAAAGAAGCTTTATTGATCCCCCTTCCACAAAAAAGTGCAGTCTTAAAAACAGTTTCAAAACAAAATTTAAAACTAAACGTAAAAAAGGATGTAAAAAACTGTTGTACCAATACAATTTCCTGGAACTTTAGAAAAAGATTTCAGTTTTGTGTTGTTTTGTTTTTGCAATAATTTATTTTTCTTTCATTTTTGTTTTCCAGATTTTTTACTATTTTTAATTTATGCTTTTCTGTTATTTAGTTTTGATTTTTTTGATTGACATTGATTCTATATATTTTATCTCTTTACCCACATTAGTCTCTACAAATGGTTTTGCTTTAATTCACTTTAAATGTCTTTCACTGTGAATGCGTTGTTTCACTTTTCATTCGACCTTGTTGCCATTTATCAAAATGTAAGGTAGATTGAACATGTCTGTTGTGGATTAACAAACAAGGCTATTTGGAAGCAAAAGATGCAGTTTTTAAGATTATTACTCTTTTACTTTTGAATCACGGTGATTTAAATAACAAAAGAGCATTGAATTTCATGATAAATCTAATTTAAAATGCTCAGTATAATACACTAAGCTATTTAAAAGCAGTAGATGCAGTTCTTAGAAATATTATTTTTTACTTTTCAATTAGATTGATTTTAATAAAAATGCATTGAGTTCATTATGTATCTAATTGAAAAACATTCAGTATAACAAACTATGCTAAAAAAGCAATAGATGCAGTTCTTAAGAACATTATTTCAAGCATATGGGTTGAATGTGCTCAGAAATGATGATAGCTTGATAAAATTTATTTTTCCGAAAGAAGCACTTCACATTTCTGGAACATTTCACAGAAGCACTCATACAACTCTTCTCAGTATGACAGAGTATAATCTGTAATTACCACTTCAACTGCTAACAACATTAAATACAATGCAATTCAAAGTGCATCTAAAAAGCGGAGCTCGCATGGAGATCTCTCAATACTCAGAACTAAACACAGAGAGCTAATGCTCTCTCTGGTCATGTGATTTTCCCCCTGGCTGGCAAGAAATTTCCAGTACCTTCAGTTTCTCAAAATTGTTGGAAGGCATACTCATGTACAATTACATAGGGCCAAATATGGTTACAATTACATATAGGGATCACATCAGTCACAGTTATGCAGGAATTGGACCAAAATATTTGGCAACTTTTGGTGCTTTCTCGCCAAATGTGGTGACAGAAATTCGTTGCCAAAACCATTGCAATTTTTATGTACCAATTTTGCAAGATAGCCATTTACTTCAGTGTTAAATGGACCTTCCCCAATACCGGCGGAGCTTTGAATTTCCAAGACCTTTCACATTACATTATACAAAGGGGTATTACGATTTACATATAGTGCCACAAAAATTACTTTTATGTACAAAATTTATAACTATATTATACTTTTGAAGGGGTGGATTTCAATAAAAATGCACTGAAATTATGACCGATGTAGTTAAAATTATTCCTTTAAACAAACTAAACTGTTTAAAAGCAATAGATGTAGTTAATATTATTATTATTATTTTATTTTTTAATCTAATTAATTTAAATAAAAATGCACTGAATTCATGATGCATCTTGTTTAAAAAACATTCAATATTTATACAGAATGATATTTTTGGTTTTTCAAATATACAAAAGGTATAGAATTCTCATATAAGTCTAAAATGTCTGTTCATCTAATATTCTATAAAATGTTTCACTGTTCCAAGTGGGCCATCTCTGTTGAAAATCTTTGTTGATAAATAATATTAACCCTCTAAGTGGTATGACCTTTTTTAATCTGGGGGTGAAGACCTGTATCTGAACAGCATTTATTAGCTAGATTTGTATAATACTTTAGTTTCTGTTTTCGTGAACTTCAGTTCTTTAAGATGATATTGTTGCAAGCTAAAGAATCATCAAAGTTTTGTATTGTTCTATTTATTTTATTTTAAAAATAAAATAAATAGAACAATACAAAATACTACAACAATATAGAAAACCAAAAATGCAATTGAAAAGGATTAAAATATATATGAATATGTACAACATGCCCCCTCGTTAAGGACTTGCATGTTCCAGGCAGTGAAATCTGTAAGACAGGGATAACCAATTCTCATTACCATAGTAATAAGGTGCAAGTCTATCACTACCTTAGGTTTAAAAGAAGTTCTTTGTATGTGCACCACTACATCATTCATTTTTTATCGCAGAGTTGGGCCCTTCTCACAATATCTGTAGCAGGGGAAAGATTGTGCAAAGGGCTTGATATCCTTGCTTGAATCTTGAATTCTCTGTCTTTTGAATTGGCATCATATCTCATCTTTAACCTCAGTGGCTGTATTCGTTCTTTCCTTGGTGAACCATTGAATGTCCTCTAGACGTGCCTGCAGATGTTCTAAGTGTGGCTCGGGCAAGGAAGGCATATTTGGCAGGATCATGCGCAAAAATCATTTGCTATGGAGAAAATCCAGTACTTTCATGAACAGCACTCCTTTATGCTAGCAGGAATAATGCTAATTTTTAGTCCCAGTCACACTGGCTCGGCATACAAATAAAGAGAGAGTCCAAGATTATTTGATTGAATTTCTCCACCATTCTTTCTGACTAAAGATGTAAAGAGTGGTTTGAGTCTTCCCCATTCCAAGAATTCTACAAAGTCCTTTAAGTGTAGAAGATGTTAACTTTGTTCCTGGTCAGAATGATTAAGAAGAGGCACTCCAAATTGTAATCCATGTCAGCTAGGTACCCTTAGTTGTATAAGGTAAAGATCCTAGAATGTCCAAAGCAATTCTCTTGAATGGTGCTGCCACACTGTAGTGCTGGAATCTTCCTCGTGTACATGTTGTTAAGCCTTTTTGAGCTCCATACGCATTACACGATTTGCACCACATTGTCTTTAATCCAAACAAAACGTGCAATGTCTGCATCACACCAAACTGACTTCCAGTAAGGCTGTAATGAAGCTTTGACCGAACACTAGGTACTCAAGATCTGGCAAGATGAGCTGCCATTTAAAACTATTTCCATCGTCAGCTTCCCATTTGCAGTAAAGAACTTCATCTTGCAGATAAAGGGAACTACACAAAGCTGATTATCTTTTTGTTACTACACTAAAGGGTGCCATTTCTTTCTTCTCATTTCTATTAATTCCAATCATGGCCTTAGTTCAGGATCTTCCATTTGAGACTGTCTCATTTCTTCGCTGCTGCAGGGATCAGTCTCTGGTGTGAGAGAGTTTGTATTAATTTGTATGACAACTGAAACATCAAACCATATTTTAATTGGCTTTTGAATAGTGGTTGCACTTTCTGTACAAGGTATTTTTGGAAGTGCATCAGCATTTCCACATGAAGTTCTTCTGCCATGTTGAATTTTCATGCCATATTCCAGGAGCCACTATATCCATCTAGCCACTTGACCCTCCAGATTTTTTAAAGCAAGCAGCCAACTTGTTGATGCGTGGTTGGTTGCAGTAGGAATTTTTGGCTGTAGGTGTAGTGGTGTAAATTTTCCACTGCCTTCATAATGGCTAGCAGCTCTTTCCTGGTTAACAGTTATATCTTTTTGGTTTTTAAAGACTTTTACTCAAATGTGCTGCAACATACTCTGGCCATCAATTTCTTGTGAAAGAACAGCTCTAATTCCTTCATTGCGGATGTCTGTATC